GATGATGCTGTACTAGTTGATGATGAACTACTAGTTAAACAATGAGATGGTGGTGAGTGTGTATGAGGATTGACTGCAATAACATCATGAATTGTCGCATCATCTTCATCATGATAATCATACGAGGTAAAATCGTTTGTGATTTGTGTTGATGGTTCAATTGAATGATGATGACTAGAATGAAGAAAAAAACAAGAAATGAAAGAACATCTTGAAGTATGCAAAGAAATAGTCCGCTATATTCACGTGGTCATTATATAAGAGAACGTGTCGGAAGAGAAGAAAAGAAGAATATGAAAAGATTTACTTTTGTTGTTTTTCTGAAATGGATGACGTTGGTGCTGTTTGTTTAGATGTTGAATTTAGATAAGTTAATAATGGTGTTGTTAATGGTGGAACTTCGGTTTCATTCAATGTATATGTGCGTTGAGATGTTGGTTTTTCATAATTTGATATTTTCTCATGATGATGTTTTTCTCGTGCTAAATTAAATTGTTCTTCCGTTGTATTTTCTCGAATAACAACAACTTGTTGATTAATTGGTGATGAATTTACTTTATTATTATTATTATTATTATTATTAATAATATTGTTATTATTGTTAATATTATTAATATGATTATTATGATTGTTTGAACTTTTATAAAATGTTTCAATAGTATATGTTGTTTCTTCTTGAATAATATTATCTGATTCAGTATGTTCATAAATTTGATTTTCATCAGTTGATGTTGATGAACTACTACTAGTTGTATCTTCTGAAGCTGACGATGATGGTGATGATGACGATGAAGAGGTAGACGATGATGAGGTTGTTAAAGATGATGGTGGAGATTCATATGGAATATCTTCTATTTCATAAGTTGTTATTGATGGTTCAAAATGAACACGAGGAGTTGAAATTGAATATGAAGGATTAATATCAGTTAATGATGTTAATGAAGAAATATTTGATTGATCTTTTTTATTTTGAACTGAATCAAACATAAATATTTGTGGTAAACTTTCTTGTTGTTCCTTATTCAATTGAGATAATAATAAATCAGTATTATTATCCATATACATCGAAGATTTTAATGAAGATGATGTAGGATTAAGATTATTAAATTTTTTAATAATATTAGCAATTGAATCAATTTCATTATCTCTTTCAATATTAGATGAAATCGATTCTAATTTTGGTAATGATGGTATTGATGGAATAAATGTATTTAAATCTAATGGACGTACTATTTTAGGTTTACAAAACATATTTGATGGAAGTGTTTTGCTTTGTTGAACTGAATTTGTTGATGTATGTGATAATGAAGGAGAATCTGGAGATAATGGTGCTGTTAAACAAAATGTTACACCTAAGGATTTTTTTGATTCATTATTTGAAAGATTATTAATTCCACGTGCAACTAAATTAGCATATTTAGAAATTTTATCTGTTGGACCATGAAAAGATTCTTTAGCTTGTTGAAGAGCATTTATTGTTGATGTATATTCTGTATTAAGACGACGAACACTTTGTGTCCATGTTGACATTGATGATGATGATGCTGATGATGGTATTGGCCGAATGACAGAATCTACTACACGAGGTGATTGTTCATGAAATGATGATGACATTAATGATGGAGATTCTCCACGACGACAAACTAATGGTCGATAATTATATAATGAACTTGACATTTGGTTATTTGCAATATTTCTATTGTTTACATTTGAATGATTTGAAGGTGGTGTATTTGGATAATTATGACTTGAATATATTATATTAGCATTTATAGCAGCTGTAGGCGAAAGTGCACGGGAATCTATAAGAGTAGAAAAATAAAATTTTAAGAATAGATGTTTACTGAAGAGCTTCAAGTTTTTATTCTCATAATATTTCTGGGAATTTTTTTTTCGGTTATTGAAATTAAAAAAAAACGACACTTGATTTTTTTTCATGTCTTATGATGTATTAATTAATATTAGAATGACAATCATTTATATGAATCTAAGACGTTCGATACGCTTATCAGTTAATCGATAATTTACCCATTGATAAAATAAAATTATAGCTTTTCATCGATGAAATATTAAATGTTATCATGTCACGCTTTTCATTCATTATAATGAATGTCTCTTTTCTTTTCGAGAAATTGATTATATCTTACCGTATTTTGGTTGTTGTATTTCTCGATGTTTTTCCATTGCTACAGAATAACTTTGACTTCGTTCATTATAATATTGTTTAGGTAATTGAATATTCTTATCCATTAATATATGTTGAAAATTTAAATGTGATGCTGGTAATTGATGATCATTTTGTTCATTATTTAGAACTCGATTTATAATCATATCATTTGAATTGGAATAATTTGGATTAATAACTCGGATAAGTCTTGCTGTTGCAATACCATCAGCAGGAATTTTTGTATTAAACGACGAATCATTTGTCGTCGTTATTGACATTGTATTATGACTATCGTCAATAATTGACGATGAACTTGATGAAGACATTGAAGAAGGAAGAGGAAATTTTCCAGATGAAGATAAATTAATATTATTATTGTTATTAGTAGTTGTTGTTGTAGTAGTAGTAGGAACACGTCGACGAGATGATGTTGATGATGATGATTGTTCATGATTACTACTTCCACCTAGATGTTTAAGTTCTAACGAGCGAAAAAATGCTCGTGCTTTTTCAACAGCACTATTTGTTGATGCTGAATGTTGAAGTTTTTTTAAAGATTCTATTTAATATGAACAAATATTATTATTTGTTATAATTCATAATATGATTTAATTAAACTTACCAAGTTTAGATTTAAAACGGCTTTCAGTTTTTGACATTTTTTTCTCTTGTTTTATTTCACTCTTATTCTTCTTCACTAATGATTGTCTATGTTGAGATTGTTGTTCAGGATATTCGACCCCGTCGCGTTCATCCATATCGCCGGACGACTCTTACTCTACTCAACGAACATATATTTATACATTTTATATTCTTTATTTTTTTTTTATCAACAAGACGAAAATGAGGATGACAAAATTCTTCTTTCGTTTTAGTTTATACTGATGAGAAATCGATGAATAGATGTAGATAGACGAAGGAGAAGAATGAATGAATATATGAGAACAGCTTAATAATATATATATGAAATAGTGAATATACGAAGACGAGAGATGCACACAGACATATATATATATATATATATATAAGTTATCCGATCGACAAGAAAAAAAAAAGAAAAGAAAGTAAAATGCAATTGCTCATTCGTTTTCTAACCTGTCTCTCTATATAAGAATAAATGAAATCGACATAGAATGTCTATCAATTTAGAAGAGACACGAACTTCGTTTTTTCTCACCATCAACAGGTGAAAATTGAATTTTCAATTATAGCACTTTTCAATAAGTGAATTAAACGAACTATTATCAAAATATACGAATATATTTAAAATAATGTTTAGTCGATTTGTAAATATAAATAAATCATAAGTATATAAGCTTAGGATAAATAGAACGAATATCAAGTGTATATACTACTCATCTTTCATATTTATTTGATTTATGATGATCTTATTAGATGAAGAAAAAAAAAGTAGGAGGCGGAGAAGATGAAGATGACATTGGTAATTTATATGAGATGTATTTCACTATTATATATATATCGAAAACGAGTATGGAGGTGGAGATCTAGACATTCATTAACTGATCGTCTATCTGATTGTTTTGCTATTATCGTTCATTATAGTTAATGAGTCGCGAAAGAATAAATTAAATAAATCGGATCATTTTATTTAAAATTGATGTTTTGCATGAAAGAGATATATGAATAAAAAAATAAAACGCACAATAACCATGAATATTAACAAAACAAAGAAGAAATTTAATTTGATAAAATAGTCAATTAATTTCTTTTTATATAAATACAAAAAAACAACTATCATAGAACGAATGATGTAATTTATCTTATTTAACAATAGTTATGTATATATATATACTACATTACTTATGTATATACATCAAGTTATCGAGCATTCAATATATTTGTACAAAATCGATTCGAGTCAATAGATTATCGTAGACGTAATCGTGATTTATTTTATTCTATAAGATAAATTATTCAACAAAAAGAATTACTATCGAAATTTATTCTTTCAATAAAGAAGCCATGTGAAAGTTTGTCTGAGAGAGAGATAACTTTAAATTTTGTTAAAACACATTGTTCGTTTTCTCTTATGAAGAATTTATTTTTAATAGACATCTCTTTGTTATTATCGAGTGTGTTTTCTTGTAAACAAACATGCATGGTATCTCTCTTTTTATTTTGTACATCTTTGTCTAACTAGTCGGTGTGCGTAAAGCGACAAAGAAAATAGTCTACTATATATCTATTCACTTATATACACTATTTTCATTCTTTTATAATCAAAAACAAACTTCAATGTCATTATATAGACTTCATTATTTTAATGGTCGTGGTCGAGCTGAAGTATCACGTTTAATTATGGTTGCTGCTGGTCAAAAATTTGAGGATATTCGTTATGATCCAAAAGAATGGTCATCAAAAAAATCTCAAATGCCATTAGGTCAAATGCCAGTTCTTGAATTTAATGGTATGAAATTACCACAATCATTACCCATAGCTCGTTTTCTTGCTAGACAATTTCGATTAGCTGGTCGAGATAATTTTGAACAAGCGAAAGTCGATTCTGTTGTTGATACAATTTATGATGCTTCATCAAAATTTACACCAATTCGTTGGGAAAAAAATGAAAGCAAAAAACAAGAAGATATGAAAAAATTCTTTGCCGAAGATTTACCTAAAAATTTACAAAATCTTGAACTTTTAGGTAAATTATATGGTAATGGTGGTCCATTTTTTGTTGGTAATCATTTAACATGGGCTGATTTATATTTTTATGATATTGCAGAAAATTTTCTTCAAGTTGATAAAAATATTTTAATGAATTATCCATGGTTAACACATAATCGTCAAGAAATTGAACAACAACCAAATATTTCCGATTATCTCAAAACTCGACCACAAACAGTTTTTTAAATAATTTTATTTATACATATAAGAAGAGAAAAACAAGATAAATAAATATTTTGTTTGTTAGAATTACATTTCTTCATGTAATACTCTATCAGGATTTAAAAGACTTAAATCAGTAAAAATATCAGCATGTTTTTGAATTTCTTTTAATGATAAAGAACCATCTGCGGGTGAATCATCAACTTTTGAAAATAATCTTTTAACTTGAATATTGATATGTACACGATTTACTGGATCATATGCTTTCTACAACAGATTAAAAAGAAAAACAAAATAATTTATATATGTATATATACTGTAATTTCATCTCTTGTTAAAATTCCATCGTTATTTTCATCAAATTCATGAAATTCTGTTTTTTGTGCATCGACAAATTTTTTATCCATTTCTGACCAAGTTGTATCATTTTTATCTGTAGATATATTTGCTATAAAGAATGAACATAGATAAAGAATAATTCGATTTTTTTACATACAAGGAATATATACAAATTCAGTTTCATTTATTTTTTGATCATTATTTTGATCTAGAATAAATTGTAGATAAATTTTCAATAAAAAAGAAAAAACAAACCCATATGTAGAAGAAGATCATCAGCAATATATTTTGCTGATCGATCAGTTATTTCTGGATGACGAAAAGCAAGAAATTCATCGATATTAAGTTCATTATCACTACTCTGATCAGCTTGCATCCATCGATATCGAATTTTAAGAAGTTCCTGGTGAGCTAACAACAGTATTTATTATTTTTGTTGATTAAAATATTCATATACTTACATTCAAGATCAAGTGTACTTGGAATAAATTCAACATCATTCACATCTCTTATATCAGATATATTTTTATTGTGAAATTTTACATACAATAAAACATATTCTTGCCATGTTATTTTACCATTTTGATCTGCATCTATCAATAGGAATAATTGTGAATTTTTATGTTTGGCTTTTTGTAAATGTTGTTGAATATTTTTAAATAGATAATTAACAAGTTCATCTTTTGTTAAACGTTCATCATGATCTAGATCTACTCTATATGAATTATAAAATAATGACACAGAATTTTTTTCTTTTTTTCTTATTTACTCATTGAATATTTCTTCCAGTTTTTTATCTTGTCTATGTTCATTTTGATGAATATCTGATTCAAAGACTTCATGATCGCCCAGAAAGATTTCTTTATGAAAGTCAGGATTAACTTTCCCACGACGATCTAATGGTAAGCCTTCAAGATGTTGATCTTCTTTTAAACTATGAATACCAAAATCTTTGAGATCTTTTGTAATTTTACTTATATTAAAGTTTTTTGGCATTTTAAATTTTTGTATCATTAATGGAAGTGTCGAATTTACCGTACTATTATATGTAATAGATTCCTGAATAAGAACAATATATTATAAAATAGTTGAATTGATATGGAAAAAAGAAAAGACTTACTCGATTAATAACTGGTAAGGCATTGATAGGAGAATAAAATAAAATAAATAGATATGAAAATTTGATTAAGATTAATAACATATCTACAAATATAGATAAATGTTTAAAAAATCATTTTCATTGAACTTTATATCGTAGTAAGTATTTGATATCGACTCTTCTACTATTTTGGGTGGTAATCTAAATGATAATAGTGATATTTGATCAGCACAAAATATTAAATTGAGGAAATTTTTTTATATTTTATTAAATGACCCAAGTCTTGTGCAGTTTTTTGACTAAGTATGTCGATAGAGTAGAATATAATAAGCTTAAAATTTGAAATTTTTTAACTAAACATTTATATTATCTGTTATTATGTTACCTGTGTTATCAAATAGTGCCAATTCAATTCAGATTAATCATACTCGATTGTATATCAATCAATCACAATAATAAAAGAAACAGTTCGTTATGCTAGCTGTTCTGCAGTAATAATCAATGATGCTTGACGAAGTTTATGGCCATCGTAAGTATAACGAATGACTAGCGTTGTGACACGGCTACTATGAACGATATCGTGTCTGTCAAGTATAAATAGTTTCATAACTTATGATCATTTCTTGTCGTATTTCATCATCAACAGTCGTTATAATGTTGACGGCCTGGTCTGACTAAATACAGACAATACTTAGCTCATAACTTGATACAGACGTCGCTATATAACAATATTTAAGCATTGACAAAATTGAGAGATCATTTTAAATTGTATATATTTATTTTCTTTTTTCAAAATCACTTCGCGTAATTTCGAGTATTACTGAGATATATTAGCTTCACTAGTATTTCTTTTAAAGAAGTAAATCCACGTTATCGATTTAGTTAGTAATCGTTCATAAAAATTTTCATCCTTTCAATAGAATAGAATGGAAAACTAAGAAATAAGAAGTAATCGAAAAATTCTTCTTAAATTATTCATTTAAACATTAATAGTTACAGTCTAACATGTATGTTTAGCAGTTGAAACACAACTAACAAATGCCATTTCTCTTAAAAATCAATGAATAATTAATCGTTAGTTTAAAAATAGATTTTCACCATATTCTGATAGTATTAAATTTATTTAATTACACTTAAATAACAAGATTAGATAGTACAAAAAAAACTAGATGAAAAATAATATACTAATTCGTTGAAACAGTATAGGACAGAATTTTGTTTTTGTTACATTTCTTCATGTAACACTCTTTCAGTATCTAAAATGCGTAAATCAGTAAAAATGTCTGCATGCTTTTGAATTTCATTTAATGATAAAGAACCATCTGCTGGTGAATCATCAACTTTTGAGAATAATTTTTTAATTTGACGATCGATATGTATACGATTCATTGGATCATATGCATGCTATAATAAAATTAAGAAATAAAATAAGTTAAAATTAAATTCATTATCTTACTAATAATTCCTCTT